AAATGAAATAGATTAATAATAAAATTTCTTAAATTTCTATGTTATATCCTTCCTTGACCACTGAAGTTGATAGATACTTCAACCTTCCAAGGACTGTTGATTTTTTTTTGTGATTGGTTTTCTTTTTTCTTCTGAAATTTATTTATTTATTTCAGTGGACCTCAATCTTGGATTCAGAAGGTCGAGTGGTGGATCCAAAAGCTTTAAGAAAAAGAATATTTTATGGAGGACTTGAACACAAATTTCGAAAAGAGGTTTGTATTTGTACTATCAAAGAAATGAGTGGACTGAATCTTTTGATTAAAACTGACCTTATTCTTACAGTTCTTATTTGTGATTTTAGGTCTGGGTATTATTGTTGGGATACCATACATATGAATCGACTTATGCTGAGAGGGAGTATCAAAAGTCCATCAAAAAGATAGAATATGAAACTATAAAAAACCAGTGGCAGGTTTGCAGTATTCTCTATATACTTTATTATGCCATCCTCATTCTTTCCCTACATTGGTTCCAAGTTTTAAATGCAATCCCTCCAGACATTCTTGTTATATATCGCTCATAATTAGTTATAAGTTGTAGAAGAGTATGGGGATTTAAAATGCTGCATGGTTTCTTAACGAAACATATAAATAATGATGCTAGTATAAGAAATACTGCCGCAGGGTGCTAAAATTTGGAGCCAACTGTTTTTCTCGATTATTTTTATCTTAATAAGTAGCATCTTCTTTAAAATGGGGGCTATTAGATGTTCGTAAATCAGTAATATCATTTCTAGGTTTTTGGGTCCAGATGCAATATACTATTTAAAGGGGATAATTGCTTTAGCCCGCAATGCCCTATTGAAGAATCAATTCATTTGTGACATAAGCACAGCACCATTCAGAATTTCCGACTTATGGTGAGAATAGTTTGTAGTTTATTTGATATGAGTTAGCTGGGATTCAGGAATTAGGTGTTGCGTTAAAAAATGTTCTCTGCTAAAGAGAATTTTTCTAGTGCTCGAATAACTTAGTTTTTCTCTGATTCTGAGTAATTTTTTTATGGTGAATATTTGGGCAGAGTATTTCTCGTGAACAGGAAAAAAGATTTACAAAATTCAGAGAGAGGAGAGGCCTTATAGAGAAAGATGTGGTATGTATGAAACCATCACATGTTTGAGTTTAGAGTTTCATATATTTTTTATTCTTTGAAAAGTGGAAAAGCACAATTCTGAGTTCATTGCAACCACTATTTTTGTTGTATTTAAGGTGAGGACAGACAGGTCACTCTCTTTCTATGACGGGGATGACAATCCAAATGTGAATCTTTTACGTGATATTCTCTTGACTTACTCCTTTTACAACTTTGATCTTGGCTATTGTCAGGTAATATACTTACTAATATGCTTTGTTTTTTGTTCATCCGTTGGTTGCCTAGTGTGGAAAAAATTAGTCATGCCATACAACAATTTTAATGTTGGTGGTTTTATTCGTCTGAATGAAAATATCTTGTGTTTCTAAAATGAACCAATTTGGATTCTTGCAGGGTATGAGCGACCTGCTATCCCCAATATTGTATGTCATGGAAGATGAGTCAGAATCATTTTGGTGTTTTGTGGCACTGATGGAACGCCTTGGGCCCAATTTTAATCGTGATCAGAATGGCATGCACTCTCAGCTTTTTGCATTATCTAAGGTCTTCCCTTCGCTCCCTTTCTCTGTCTCTCACTAGATGCTGGAGTCGGTTATGGTATTAGTCAAAATGGCCTAGACTGCCCCTAAACTCTTGAATGTGACAACTTAATTGTAATCTCATGTTTATACAACTTCCATCCGCTTATTCCTGCCCTTTTTCCCCTTTGATATGGGGGTTAATCTGTCTTAAAAGGGCAATAGTGCTCTAGTTCAAAAATTGTCCATAAATTTCTTTATTATTAAAGAGCATTTTACTTTCTATTCGTCAGAGAATTCTGGTGATTGTTTTGATGATTTACTACTATTATTATATTGTCCATCTTGTGTGGCTTCCTGAGATTTCGGCCTTTGCTTTTGCATTGTTATAAAGTCAAAATGCAATAGTAGTACTGGCATGATACAGATTTAGTCTCAGTTTGTAAACTTACAACTCAATTGAAGTTTGTGGTGTGGCTTTTGGGACACTTCTACATGATGAGATAGCCGGCCGTAAAACCTATGTTTCTTACTATAACGATGGATTGCATGTCTGATGAGACTAAATCATTATTTTTCCCTTCCTTTTCTTGAGTTAACAACTACAGTACAGAAACTAGTATACCACTGGTGGTTTCTTGAGTCCCTTGAACAATAATCAAATTACGAAGCATCTTTTCATAATGCCATCAAACTTATGTTTCTTTGAGATTTTTGGATTTTAGTTGTGTTTTTGGAAGGAAACAACATGTAGTTTATTAACAGCTGAACCACTCTTCCCTTGCCCATACACAGCATAAAGAAGGTTTGGGTATCTTGACTTTATACATCTGACAAGTAATTTATAAACATCTAAACCAAGTAAATCAATAATTCATGAACGTAGATTTTGGTCTCTGACTTTGAACTGTACTACTTTTTGCAGCTGGTGGAGTTGTTAGACAGCCCTTTGCATAACTATTTCAAGCAGAACGATTGCTTGAATTATTTCTTCTGTTTCCGCTGGATTCTGATACAGTTTAAAAGGTCCGATTCTTGGATTTATTAGTTCATTCATTTTTTTTCCATGCCAACATTCATTTAGGCTAGATTTTCCTTTAATAATGCGTTGTACATAATTTCCTGCTGATGCATTATTGTTTTGAATCCAACATCTTGCAATGCTCATGTAAAGTAGAATAGTTTGTGGTGTAACTCTTATGGCATATGTTGTTCTCTGTGTTGTACCGCACCTTTTCCTCCACACTCAAAACCCAACTTGCAATTACGTGGCTCTAGTTCCCTTTAAATCCCCATGTCTAGCTTTTGCTTATGCATGCATTTATGTATTACTTTGTTTTTACGTGTTGTTTCTGTCGTGCCAACGCATTCTTATCCAGGGAACTTGAATACGAGGAAACAATGCGATTGTGGGAAGTATTGTGGACGCATCATTTGTCGGAGCACCTCCATCTGTATGTGTGTGTAGCTATCTTGAAGCGCTACCGAAGCAAAATAATCGGGGAGCAAATGGACTTTGACACCCTCTTGAAGTTCATCAATGAGTTGAGTGGGCAGATTGACCTTGATGCAACCCTCAGGGATGCGGAGGCTTTATGTATATGCGCTGGGGAGAACGGAGCCGCCTGCATCCCACCTGGAACTCCACCCTCATTGCCGGTTGATGATGGTTCATTCTATAACCAGCAAGATGATGATGTACTGTAATTGTCAACCATCCCTTTTCCTGCAAAAAGATAATTGTTGAAATTGGTTGGGTATTATCTCGTAGTGTGAAACCATTTCATTCTTCTTTTACCCCCTAAAACATTATTTCTGGTGGATTGGATGAATCGATGTATAATATGTTTTTCCCCTTAATACGGTAACGTAGCATGTTTTGCATAAAGCGATTTGTTTTTTTCCAACTTCTCCAATTATTTCTGATTATTTGGTGCTTATTTCTTCGCTTTTATCAAATTTGGCAATTTTCATTATGTTTGTATATTTTGTTGTTTAAGGTATTTTATTCCTTGAAAATATCTAAAACACTATTGAAAAGGAATCACTGAAACACCTTTTAATTTGCCCTATATTTCTTATGCTTCCCCACGTGTCAATGTGGTGTGCCTCAGTTGGGTAATAGGAATCAGTGAGAAACATCGAAAGAGACTTCCCATCACCACATATACGTTACTAAACGGGTATTTTTATAGTGCGACACTTTTAATATATAATTAAAAATTTATATTATTGATTTTATTATTATTTAAATAATAAAATTAGTAAAAAAAATATTTAAAATATTATTATTTTTATTTAAAATATTGATAATTTTTAATATTTTTAGTAAAATGTATAATAATAATAAAATCAGTAGAAATAATTATATTTTTGATAATTTTTTACTAAATTTATTATTTAAATAATAATAAATTTGATAATATCTTTTTTAAATTGTATATTAAAATTATCGCACGAGATCATTTTACTTAATCAGCTTATTGTAAGAAATTTCTCGAATGTTAGGCAAAACTAAGGCCGCAATGTGCGACTTCAACTGCAGCTATTACCATCAATTATATATATTTAACCTATAATTGTTATAACATTATAAAAAATTTATTATATTTATATTGAGTAAATTATAATACAAAAATTAGATCCGTCAAAATGTATGATTCTGAGACCGACTTTGTTACTAAACTAAATTATCATATATTTTTTCTCTATTTTTAATGATCAATAATCATAGTACAAGATTATAATAATTATACACATATCAAACGATTTTAATAATTAAAAAAATGATTATTATTCTTAAAAATTTTAGATTCAAACACATATGTGTAGTTAATAAGAAATTTGGCAGTTCATATTGTTCATGACTATTTAATAATAGGTTTAATTATAAAATAAGTATTTAAATTATGGTGTTTTCTATAAATATTTTTTTGAATAATCCTTGTGTCTAACGTTATAAACGTTACCACTTTAGGTATCCGAGCCGTAAACGACGTTAATTTTCTCCGTTAAGTGACACACGTCACCCTCATGTAATTTTAAAAATTTTATTTAAAAAAACTTAAAAATATATATATATTTTTTTAAAAAGCCCGAAGTTTTCGAGAAATTCTTAGAAACCTCCCTCAAACTTTGAAAATCCTATATCTAATCTCTACACTATGCTCGCCGCCGCCGTTACCGTTGATTGGACTTCCACTTGGTCACGCCTCCACCGAAGACCAATTACTCGACGAACAATTGCCATAACAACAACCGATGACCCCTAAAATTGTAACGAAATCTATCCCATCTGCCTCGACGAAACGGCGACCATCGCAACTCCATAGTCTTTTGATTACGGAGATGGCAAGGAAAGTGTTGGAGGCGGTGGCCATGGCCATAAATGGATGTGGAGTTAGAGTTAGGGTTATGATTTTGAGATTTTAGGAATTTTGGAAGTTTTTGTAATTTAAGAAAAAATAGTTTTTTATAAATATAATAAATTTTAAAAAATTAAATTATTTTAAAATTATTTTTTGATGGTTATTACATTCCAGACACCTAAAGTGATAATGTTTATAAGACAGTGTGATCATTCAAAAAAAGTAAACTATTTGTAAAAAATACTACAATATAGTATGGACACTTATTTTATAATTAACCCTTAATAATATAAACCATCATAAGACAGAGACAAAGCAGCTCATAGGGGACGTGTGTTTTGTGTAAACATCACAAAGTTATCTTTTGGGGAAGAACGTCTGGGCCAAATTTGGCGTGGGTTCCATTAATCTCAAGGGTTCTTCAATTACTCTCTCTTTCCATTCTCAAACTAAAATATTGACAGCAATAGACGTGGCCTGCCCTTCTCCACAGTCAAGATAAGAAATTCAGCAACAATCCCCAGTTCCGATGCGCCTTAGATCTCTGGCCTCACCATCGTTGTTAACTAAAACAATGGGGAAAAAATCAAAGGAAAGAACAAGTGGTCGACTAAAAGTGAAGCAAATCGCAGACCCACTTCACCAAATGTACATCAACATCTCACCTTACATATGAATATCCCAACTCTGACTCCAAGGAACCCAGATTTTCCCTTTCTTTTCTCTGCTTTGAAGAACCGAATTGCACTTGGCTTGTTCTGATGAATTCTATTCTGTTTTACTTGAAAGGCCATCTTTTTTTTTTTCCTTTTTGTGAATTGTTGATGTGCATATGGATCTTCAACGGTCGTATCGCGCAACTGTAATATGATTTCATAGAAGAAAAAAATCACGTAGTATGATTTGAACTGCCGTGTTTTGATTTTTGCGTGGTTTTCAGAACAGAAACGCATGCAAAAACACGTATTTCTGTTGCTGGTTTCTTGGGAATGGGTCATTTAGGTGGTTTGTTTTGTTTACAGGAACGATGCAGAGGGTTTAGTGAGGTGGCCACCGGTGAAAACCTGGAGGCATAAGCTACGCCGCCAAATCCCCAACGGCGGAACAGATAACAACCACGTCGCGGCGGAGAATGGCTGTGGCTGTAGCAGGGCTTCAAATTCCACGTACGTGAAGGTAAAGACGGAAGGAGTTGGAATCGCTAGGAAAATCGACATCGGCGTCCATCGTTCCTTTGAAACTCTTACAACCACCTTAATGACAATGTTCGATATACGTAAGAACACTCACGATTCTAAACTTCAACATTAAGTTTGATCCAAAAATCTAGAATTTTAACCCTTAGTAATTCCCCTTCTTCGTTCGACAACAGTTGATGAGAATCTGAAGTGCTTTAAACTGGCTTATCAAGACAAAGAAGGCGACCGGTTGCTTGCTGAAGATGTTCCCTGGAGGTACCTGTTCTTTCCCCCCTTCTACATGCTTCATTTGTCTCAGATATTTTGGACTGTTTGGTTAGATAGAAAGTGACGTGGGAAAAAACCTGGGTTTTTTTTTTCAGGACCTTCGTTGGCTCAATAAAATGCCTGAAATTAATTAGAAGCAGAGGATGGCAATTGGGGTTCCACATCAAGTTATCAAAAATCATAAAAGTCAAGAGATCAGTAGTTTAGTTTCTTGAGACAAATGATACATAACAAAGCACGAATCGAACGACTTCATTGATAAAGGAATTGTTGTTATTTCTTGAGATCTCGGGTTCAAACATAAAAAATATTAGTGGTGTGAACGTTGAATATCAAATTATCGAGAGTTATATTCGAACATATCACTAAAAGAAAATGCCTGAAATTAATTAGAAGCAGAGGATGGCAATTGGGGTTCCACATCAAGTTATCAAAAATCATAAAAGTCAGATCAGTAGTTTAGTTCTTGAGACAAATGATACATAACAAAGCACGAATCGAACGACTTCATTGATAAAGAATGTTGTTATTTCTTGAGATCTCGGATTCAAACATAAAAAATATTAGTGGTGTGAACGTTGAATATCAAATTATCGAGAGTTATATTCGAACATATCACTAAAGAAAATAGAATAAAAGAAAGACAAATCATGGCATGGGTGGTTTCCCCTCGCCATCCATACAGTGTGGTTAGAACTTAGAAGCCACAAGTACCATACGTGATGGAGAAAGCAGTTCATGGAAAGCATAAAGTTACAAAAGATGTACAATGGGCAGGCAACTTCCTATCTTATTCCACAAGTTTGTTCTCTTTTTCTTGGCTTTTCATGTCACTTTCCTTAGTGTGAAGAGAACAAGTTATATTAAATATCGAGAGTGACCAAATATTTAAATTTAAAATGGTATATTATAGGTACAGTAGTTATTATTATTTTATATTAACATCAGCTGTAAAATTATTATAAAAGCTTTTAAACAAGATCGAAAGACGGACCAGAAAGTACATTTCATTGGTTGACGAGTCTGTTCAACTTTATTTTCTTATATTTTTTTTGATCTTGAGTTCTAGACTGATTAGTAACACTTCCCTTATTTCAACCCTCTTACATCGATCGTTGTCTAACCACAAATTACGAACTTTCATCCAAATTTAAAAAAATGGTTGTCCCTCGTTCCCATATGTAATGGGGTAAGGGGGAGGTAAGATAGTAGACTGCCCCCAACACTAGGTTAAGAGCAGCTTCAGTAAGAGACCTCCAAATTATGAAATGCGTTCCCATATGTAATGGGGTAAGGGGGAGGTAAGATAGTAGACTGCCCCCAACACTAGGTTAAGAGCAGCTTCAGTAAGAGACCTCCAAATTATGAAATGCTCTCCATGTGACTCGATCCCACGACCTCAAGATTAAGAACATTGTGCTCTACCAATTGAGCTGAATGATCATTTCTCCAAATTTAAAAAAATGAATAATCCAAAGTCATTATAACCTCGCCGTTGACATTAACACATTTTATCTAAAAGTGAAAGAGGTAAAATATAATTTTATTTAAATTTAAATTGAAAAAAAAAACCTAAAATAGTATTAACCCAAAAAATGTTAGGAGTAAGAGCATCTCTTATAAATATATTTTTTTCTAATCATTATATATTATATATATTTTTAAAAAAATGGTATGTAATGTATTCACATGTTAATAAATCAAATGACCACATTTTAAATTTAGAAAAAAATCAATAGATTTGTTTATTTAGTATATTTTTCTCAATAAATAATTCATATTTATATTTTCTTTGTAAGATTGATCTCTACATGATCAATGTTTTAAAAAATATTCCTCCTCTACTATAACTTTTGCACATGTTGAGGTCACCATCCGAAAGGAATATATTATAAAAATAAGCCATTCAACTCTTGATAAGACCTTTAATAAACCCACCAAAAAAAATCTATATTGATCAAATCTACTAATTGCCGACAAAATTTATAAACTAGATTGGTCTACACGTAACAACCATGGTTTAAGGTACATTTATGGTTCAGAATCGGATCGATTAGCGAACCGGTTATACTATCAATTTATTGGTTCAATCGGTCGAATCGGTTCGACTGGTCAAAAAAACCGAACGTCATCATAATTATTTAAAAAATTAAATAAAAATACCAAAAATTTAATAAAAATAATTTTTTATATCACAAGTCATATTCAAAGCAAGTCATAACATATATAAGTTAAAAACCATAAAATCAAGTGAAACAAAATGATTCAAATTAACTACAATATAATATTTAAGGTAAAACATATTAAATAATAAATATAATTATATAACTATAATTAAAAAAATAAATTTGGGGCTAAAAAAATCATAATAAAATGATATTGTTTGGTTTAATTTTTTTAAAAAACAACCCCACATGGCTAAGAAACATAGAATAGCATCCCAAAAGTCTAAAGAGTAAAAATATGAAAACAAAACAATCTCACATGGCTAAGAAACATAGAAGAGCATCACAACTAACTTCTATAAATAATAGAGGTAATTTGACATTCAAAATCATTTAGCCTTTTGGTGAACATTGAGTGAACTATTCTTTCACTTCAATTAAGCTCAAATTTTAGGCTTCAATCGAGCTTCTAATTTTTTTTTTTTGAGTTCAAGCCTTTTTGAGTTCAAGTTTCAATATTATATTTCGAGTTTGAGTTGAACTTGATAATTTTTAGCTCGTGAGTTTGAGTCGAGTTGAGCTTACTTTTAAAGTTTTCAAGTTCGAGTCGAGCTCAACAATACTCGAGTTCGACTTGGCTCGTTTAACAAACAACGTCGTTTGGTTTAATTAAAAAAAACAAAATTTCTGATTTTTTCCAATTTTTTTCGGTTTTCAGCCGGTCCGGTTCGAACAGTTCAGCGATTCTGACCGGTTCACTAGTAGCGGTTCAACCGGTGTAGATTGAACCGGACTAGGCAACGGTTCCCGGTTGAACCGGTTAAACCGGCCGGTCCGGTCCTGTAACATCCTCCATACCGGGTTAGTGATTAAATTCTAAAGTTTCAGAATTTGGTGATTAAAGTAGAATGATGAAAAAGTTCAATGACTTATTTGAGCTATTTTGTGTAGGATTAAATTATAAAGAATGAGGATTATAAGGACAAAATGGTCTTTTTATAGTAAGATAATTATTTGGGGTTAGTATTATATTAAACCACGTGGAAGTATAGGAAATCAAAACAAGCTTCCAGAGTTCTATTCTTCTTCATACGTGAGACCCAAGCTAAAGGTAAAATCTCTTGTTAGTGAATTTCTTGATGAATTTATGGTTGATTTATGACCATTAGGCAATAGTTAAGCTTAAAGGAAGTTTAATTGTTTTAAAACCTCAAGATGAGAAGTATATGAAGAATTAAAGAAATGAAGTAGAAAAGTGAAATCTTGGATTAAAGTTCATAATAAGAATTAGAAGTGAGATTTGACTTGTCATCAAGTTAATTAAGGGATAGGAAGTGTTAGAATAAGAATTTGAGCATGTTGCAAAACTAGTATAATTTTTGCAATTTCATAGGAATGACTAGATTTGGAGTTTAAAGAAGTGATTATGGAGTAGAAATGAGTTTAAGTATGGGTATTAAAGTTAGGAATATTAAAGGGAGTAAAATAGGAAGGTTTGAGCTGCAATAAGGTGATTTTCGAGCTCAAAATGGGATTTATGGGCTAGGGGAATCGATACCCATTCAAGGGGAATCGATTCCCCCTCAAACGAATATGAATTCCAGAATGCTAGAGGGGAATCGATACCCCCACAGGGGAGAATCGATTCCCCCATAAAAAAACTATCAATTCCTTAAATTGTTTAGGCTATTAGAGGTTAATTTCAAGACTTAGGCATATGATAATCATCTTGAAAATTATGTTTATGTAGATATTGAGCCTAATCAAGTTCTAGAACAATCGACAAGTAGGATCGATCGAGGGAAAGACAAAGAAATCTAGGTGAGTGCATATGCATAGCATGAATATATTATTATCAGTTCTAGACTTATGATAAGTCTAGATTCAATATTTTGATACATGATTACATTCCATATTATGAAACGTGATATGAGTTTATACCATATGCATTATGTGACATGAATATACAGGAAATGATATGTCTATGTGATAAAGGTATGAAAATACTATGTCTACGTGATACAAATTATGTGAATTGTGAAAGCCCATGTTATGTAGATGAGAACTATAGGTATAGTTGGCATGCCAAGGGTAGAGGGTCTACGCGGTCATTCGGGATATATATATTCTTTGGAACATGTGTGAAGTCTTGTGAGATACTTGATCCCTAGTATATGTATATGATTCTTAAGGAATGATATGTGGTCCTTATGGACATTATTATATGGCACTACGGTGCAATTCTACGCGGCACTCCAGTGCAATTCTACGTGGCACTTCGGTGCAATTATACGAGTTGTGGTGACAGCATAGTGCACAACCTCACAATACTCACATACCTTAGGTTCTCAGTATGGTATCATGGGCTAATGAACTTAATAATGTGAACTTATGAATGTGAAATTTGATAAGTCTATGTGTAAGAATATGGTTATGGTTATTGCATTGATTACATTCATATTATCATTGCAACCCATCTCATTTTGGCAGTTTCTTTATATTTTATGGTTATTATTATATTGCCTCACTAAGTCGATGACTTAGCATGTGAGTGTTGCACACGTAGGATTCGATAAAGTAGACGATCGAGGTTAAGCAGCTGGACAACATTACTTCTGCAACTATCAGATCAGAAGCAACTTAATAGTATGTCATTTTGTTATGTAAATCAGTGTTGGCATGTAATAGAAGGTTAAGTTATGTATGATCTGAGTATGTTGTGAACCTTGTATAAATCTATATATATATGTAGATTATCGTATTTTCTTAATATAATTCAAATGTTTTATTATTTTGTTAAGAATAATGCTTTAAAAAGGTAATGTGATATCTCAAACTCGTATCCGGGTCGGATACGGGTTGGGGGTGTTACAGGTCCGGTTTTCAGCCGGTCCGGTTCGAACGGTTCAGCGGTTCTGGTCGGTTCACTAGTAGCAGTTCAACCGGTGTAGATTGAACCGGACTAGGCAACGGTTCCCGGTTGAACCGGTTAAACCGGCCGGTCCGGTCCTGTTTTTAAAACACTGGGTACAACAAAAGTAT